AAAAATAAATGACAACTTCATTACTATACTAAAGCAAATATGGCATTAAACTAAATTAGAACATGAACACCTAATTTTTTTGTTTTGTGTTCTATTGTTAATTCTAAATAAGTTACTATTTATTAAAAAGCATGTACTAGAAAATATACATTAAACCAAACTCAGTTTTAATGCCATAAGAATTAACACTGATTACTTTGAAAAGAAGCAGCTTACAAATAATTCCTGGTTAATTTATTTACAGTTCCTTCATAAAATTTTGTTGTAGGTTTGATTCTCCATTAATTGACCTTTGTAAAGTCAATTTACATGACTAAAATAGAAGTGTGTGTGATGTGTGCTATTAGGATGTTGATATATTAGAGAAGAATATTCTGTTAAAATAAAAATCTCTGCAAAAAAATATTGATACTAATTTAGATTACAACATCTACATGTGGAACTAATTCATTACTTATACATATTTTAATTGTTTTTTTTCCAGAATTGTTTTCAGAAATTATTGCAACTAGATTTTCATTTTAAAGTTAAGATATTTCTGTCTTCTTTCAACCATAATTTTTCTAAGTCATCCCTTTCACAGAAGAAGCAGTATCTCATTCAGATGCCACCACATTTGCAAATACTTTTAGCTTTTGTTCATCTGATACCTAGATGTATGCTGAAGATCTGGCCATAACTGGCACATGCTAAATTACCATTTTTGTTCATTTGTTTGAAAACAATCACGAACCATGTCCTGTAATTCTATCATTTTAATCCCTCTCTCCTTTCATTTAAAATTAGAACTCAAGCTGGCCATACCAGTTTCATTACAAAAGCTTTGATTAATACTTAAATATGAAGTACGTGGCTTCTAAGATGTTTTAAAATATATGTAGTCCTTATTAGTTCTCCCTGAATAAACAAGATCTGAAACTTTTCTAGAGTATCTGACCTAAAATGCTTAGATTTTTCATTAACACTTCCCTGATGGCTCTAAATCGACTTTACTAAACAGATCATTCTAATCACAGATTCTATCAGGAAAATCAGCCAAAAGAATTAATTTGAAATGACTAACTTTGGAGTATGTAATTTTTGCATTAAAAAACAGTATATATGCAATTATTGGAAAGATTTTTAAAGTAATTTAAATACTGTGGGGCAATTAGTTTTTCAACCCTGCTGATAGTGTTCTCGAAATCCAGCTGTGTTCACCAAACCTCAAAAATGCTGCCTGCAGTGTGGCTATAATAGATTTAAAAGATGAATTAACATAACAACCAAGTACCTTCATTGAATTGCTACACCAAGAAGTTATTTATGTTTTAATTATGCAGGTAATAAAGATGGCAAAGTAATTATGATACTAATAGAGGAATGTGATTTTAAAATAACATTTGTTCAGTATCACTAAAATAAAAATCATGAGGTTTTGTAGCTGAAAATAAATCTGTATGTAATGATGCTTTTCTTCACCTCTTCTCAGAAGTACGCTATTGTGCCACCTCTGCTCCTGCTGAGATGTTAATGCCAGTTCATAAACCTGTGGCAATGTGGTAATTAACACCTTTCTTCTCCTGGTGCCAGGTCGAAGGCATACTGATTTGGGCTTTCCATGGTGGTGATGCATGTTAAAGCTACTCAACCAACAAAACTTAAAGAATGTATTATGTGTTTGTGTGTTTCAGCTGTGTTTTTGACATTGCATGATCTAGCCTACAAAAAAAAAATTTACGTTATTTATTTTTTTCAGTTACAGTTGACATTCACTATTATTTTATATTAATTTCAGCTGTACAGCATAGTGGTTAGACATTTATATAATTTATGCAGTGATCCCCCAGTTTAGCCTAGTACCCACCTGGTACTATACATAGTTGTTGCAACAAAAATCTTTTTGATGATCATGGAAAGTAAAGGAAAAAAATGACATAAATTAATATTGATGGTTATATTGTTCTTAACAGTATAAGGAGCAATAGTTTTTAAAACCTAGTTATGAATGAAGTTTTCTAATTATTTTAATTATTTTGAAACTTCTTCATGATTATTTACTTTCAACACAGAAATATTAGGAGACAATTTTGTTAATTCTGATGAATTTTTAGAGTTTATCATTTTTTTACTAATATCAAATAAGGCGTGTCTGAAATAAAATAAGGCATGCCAGATCTGACTGGGTCTGGCAGAGAGAAGTCAAGGCAGGCAACAGTTGAGATTAAAAAGGATAGACAAGANAAATTGCTACATATTATCACTCAATATTCTAGGAATTTGAATGCTTTCATACAGATGATGATGACCCTGAATTTAGGAAATTACTGTGTCATAGATTGTAGCTATTAAAGGAACACAATTTTGTTTTGATGCTTATGCATTTTGGTTATGTTTTTATTGGGCATTGTTAGATTTTTCATCATTGCATTGAAAGATTTGTGTGGGACCAAAGAAAGGGAAAGAAAGGGCAAGAAATAGGTTAAGTATATAATGGTGGCGGTGGGGGATTTATTTTAAGTTAGAAAAAGGTAATTTTAGCCACAATGCTACAAAACAATATCCGCAAGTTATTATAATAACTAATGTATTGCGATGGTTAATTTTATATGTCAGCTTGACTGGGTTAAGGCGATGCCTAGATAGCTGGATTTTGTAGTGTGTCTGTGAGGGAGTTTCTGGGAGACATTAGCATTTGAATCAGCAGACTGAGTAAAGATCCTTCCACCAAGCACCACAACCAATATGGGTGGGCATCATCCAATCAGTTAAGGGCCTGAATGGAACAACAACAAAAACAAAAAAAAGGAGGAAGGGTGAATTTGCTCTCTGCTTGAGTTGGGATGACCATCTTCTCTTGTCCTCAGACATCAACCTCAGGTTTTTGGTCCTTTAGACTGAATTATACCACCAGCTTTCCTGGATTTCCTGGATTTCCAGATTGCAGACAGATCATGGGACTTTTCAGCCTCCATAATTGTATAAGTCAATTCCTATATATAAAACCTCTGTCTATCTATCTATCTATCTATCTATTTTTCTATCTATCTATCTATCTATCTATCTATCTATCTATCTATCTATCTATCTATTTATCTATCATCTATCTATCTTTCTATTTCATATTGGTTCCATTTCTCAAGAGAACCCTAATGCAAGTACAAAATGAGATACAGGGAGGGTACATAATTATTTTATTTATAAAAGTTACCTTCAAGAAATTCTTACTGTTTTATAAGGCAGTCTTCTGTAGAGGAAAGGCTATGGACTTTGGAGTCCAACAGACCTGGGTTTAATTTCTAGCTCAGCTATATAATAAATATTTGTACCCAGGAACATTAGGCAACCTTGCAGAGCCTCAGTTTCCTCATTAGTTGATGGATTATCTTGATAATTAAATTTTTCAATGAATTAAATCACATATCACAGTTCTTAGAATACAGAGGGCACTCCTTTCCAACTTTCCTTCATAGTACTTACCCATAATGTGTTGTTTTAAATTGACTTTTTAAATGTTTCTAGATTTACCTAACGTTTATGCCATTTTAAAATGGATTGTTTAATTTTTTCCTAGATTTAGCCAATGTTGTTATATAATGTTGTCTTTAAGATTTCTTGTCTTTAAGCATTATCCAGTTTTATTTGTACTAGAACCTTCCACAAGGATTAGCTTGTTACCTAAATCAAATGGCCTGCACGTTTTCCAAAGAAGCCCAGAAACAGTCAAGATTTTGTAATAGTCATGTGTCACTACACGTTCTGAGAAATGTGCCCTTAGGTGGTTCTGTCATTGTGTGAACATCCTAGATGGTCTAGCCTACTACACACCTAGGCTGTATGGTATAGCCTGTTGCTCCTAAGCTATACTTGTAAGCCTGTACAGCATGTTACTGTACTGAATACTGTAAATATTTGTGTATCTAAATGGTATTTGTGTCTAAATGGTGAGTATGTCTGTATCTAAAGATATCTAAACACAGAAATGTTACAGTAAATATATGATATACAGTACTTTTATACAACTGGAAGCACAGTAGGTTTGTTTACACCAGCATCACCACAGTCACATGAGTGATGAACTTTATGACAGCTATGACATCACTAGGCAATAGCAATTTTCCAGCTCCATTATAATCTGTTGGGACCGCCATTATACAATACATGTGCTTGGTCATGGACCGAAACGTCATTATGCAGCACATGACAGTACCTTTGGAAAACAGGCCTACCTGATGACTTATTTTCATAAGGGTTCCTGAGATTTTCATAAGGGTTTTATCCCAAGATGGACCATCTGAAAGAATATGCAAACTGTCTTGAAAGCCAAAGCATTAAAATGAGCGTTTCTTGGACTCTTTGATCACCCACACAAGGCAGAGTCTTTTTGTACTTACTTGGCATTCACAGGATTGCAGGTGGTCAGATTGGCCAGGGCCAGGGTGGCAGCTTCCCTTACCTCTTCATTGTCACTTTTTAGCAACTGAATTAACTGTGGAATCCCTGCAGCAAAAGAAAGGTAAAATGTGGCTTTACCAACGTCCACATAAACTAGAGTATAGTCACTTAAAAACTTACAAAATGGTTTCTTCCAGTTTGCTTACCCTGATGATTGAAAAATTCTTTGCTGCCTGAATTCTCACACATGGCCGAAATAGCTTGCGAAGCAGCAATTTTCGTTCCATCGTTTTCAGAACCTAGAAGGGCTACAAGGCACTTTTCAACTTCTTGTTCGTGAAAAAGTTTTCTGTTTTCAGCTTTCATAAACCAAAAGGGAAAAAAAAATCAGAACTTTTCTGCAAAACTTGTGCTAGTATTAGTGCTTCCCCATCCAACATATGATAGGAATTCAAACTATTTGCAAGCTTTAGTCACAGAGTCTAAACCAAACAAAATATATTCCTATTTAACCTTTAGAGCACAGCGATTCTGCACAATGAACCATGGGTAATGCCTTTTTCCCTATTCTCTTATATGATACCAATGCTATGGCGAGTTTCAGATTTAGCAATAACTATTTAACACCTATCATGTGCCTGGCATGGTGCTGTGTTCATACATGTTATCTTCTCACTAAGGACAAAAGCCTATTTATTTGATGTTTTTTCTACATACAAACACAATATTTGAAAAATGCCTAAGATGTACAAACTGGTGAGCTGGATGCTCAAGAGAAGAGGAAAAAAGTAAAAATGGGTAATAAAGTATGATTCCAAGTCTTAAGGAATTTATAATCTCATATCAAAAAATCATAATCATCTTTTATCTTAAGATACATGATGATGCAGAAAAAATTAATATAATGATTTAATTGCTAAATTACCAGAAACTTAACCTAAACAGACATTAGCATAGTTTTGTTTATTTGAAAACAAATAGTTATGACTCTAAGTACATACCATGATATTCACCCCATTATAAAACACTAAATTAAAAACCAAAGTTGTTTTTTTTTTT